ACTACGCATGGTTTACATTTTCCCTAAGCGGGGGACACGAATTCTCTAAATTAGCTTGTTTTTTCATAATCCTTTCACATATAAACGTGAAACGAATGTGAATAGAAATTGCGTATGATTGATATATTTGTGTGATTTTCAAATATTTTATTTCAGTTTGGAAATATCATTTGAAAGAACCTTTTTAGTAAGTGACCCTTGCCTGACCTTACACATGTATAATAATTTATATTACTGTCAAATTATTAATCTGAGAAAAACAAATTAAATATTAGAATTCTTATACTTTAATTGAAATTATTATTTTAACCACATATATCATATAACATCAACAAACATAGTACATGTAATCATTATTAAGATTATTTAAAATTGCATTTAAATAAAAATTTTCATTTGCATAGGTAAACTCATTATCAGTTTATCAAAATATCATGTGCATTTGACGTAAAATTTTCAAATAAGCAATCACATGACGGATCAATTAAGATTATATATCAGTGACAGATGAAGGTAGATGCATCTGCATGCAGAAATTGTATTCCCCATCATCAAAGTGTGAAACATATTGTAAGTACATGTATTTGTTACTCCTATATATATATATATATATATATATATATATATATATATATATATATATATATATATATATATATATATATATATATATATATATATATATATATATATATATATTTTTTTTTTTTTTTTTTTTTTTCAACCCGGGTCAAAATTCAATTATATATATATTATATATATTTAATCACATATAGTTATCTAATACTAACTATTAGGAAGTATCGATGGAAGTTTTTTTTTCCACTGATATTGCTTCGTTTCATATGTTTGTTTGTTTGTTTGTATGTTGTTTAACGTCTCTTTCGAGAATTTTTTCACTCATATGCAGACTCCACCACTTGCCGGTGTAACGTTGAATTTTGACCCGGGTTGAAAATTGATGAAAAGTGAGCCGGGTCGTGAAATTTTGATCATGAAACCGGTTCAAAATTCAACAGAATAAAACACATACTTATGACTTGGTTTTTACAACTGTGATTTAATCCATAGGCGTCGGGAACGGGGGGATGCTTACCCCTTTTTTGCAAAGATAGACATGATATAAGCATTGAACAATGTGAAATTGCTTTACCCCCCCCCCCCCATCTTCGCTTTCAGCAGGCACGTTACAGTGTAGTCAAAGAAAGAAGAGTAAGTAGTAGTGCTTTAAAGAAAGAAATTGGATCCTCCCCCCTCCCCAGTAGGATTTTCGGGTTTGGACAACTACTTTGGGCAATGGACAATTTTGTTTTGTTTGTCAATTTTTTCAGATTTGATTTTTCTTCTTTTTCAATAAGCCCTCTCCCCCCGCACTTTCAATTTGCTTCCGACACCAATGTAACCCAATGCAAACTTAATTCAGAAAGTCAGTTATATTTTTAGAATAAAATATTTTAAAAATTAATTATTTCGTTTAATATTTTTAAAAAAAGAAGTACATTTGTATTTGTAAATCCTGAATATTAGTAAACATAGTTAAACAATATACAATTTAGTTCATAAATTTGTTTATTTATTTATTTATTTATTTTGCTAACAACACTTCATTCAATATAATTTTAAGGATTTCCATCCCTAATGGAACCAAATTCTATACCCTTAAATGTCCGTCAAGTACACAATACTCTGATGTTATATTAAAGCATTTATAGTGGAAAAAGATAGTTCGCGAGAAATTTTCAAAAATTTCATTAATTAAGCAGTAGTTAATTAACACAGATTGCATTAAAGTCTATGGGGAAAAGCGTTTTTTTTTTCAAAATAAAAATTCAAATAATCTGAATATCAATAAATCCTGGGGTGGAAAGATGCATTGAAACATTAAAAATAGAATGAACCCCAGATACATACATATCTATTTTGTTAAGTAGAGGATGTAAAAAGGGGGTGATCTGCCCTTTTTGGGATTAGTACATATATATTTGAAGAATGTGGTTTATTATTATTATTATTATTTTGTATTTGTGACTGGGCTGTTTACTTCATTTTTATAGTCTATTTTAATCAAAAAAATTTGCCTAAGATACAAAACTCTGTCTTTCAATGTTATTCATTTTTTGTAATAAAGTAGCCAAAATATAACATTGGCACCCCCTCCCCCAAATCGGGGAAACACGGGATAGTTTGTGAGGAATTTTTTAAGCGGCTCTTCCATCCAATTAGAGAAACATGGTTTGGTTTTCAAAATTGGCTAGTTTCCCTTTCCACTTTTTGTTTGCTTGTTTGTTTATTGCATTTCGTCTATTTATTTTGTTTATGGTCTTTGTCACAATATTTCAGAGGGTTTTGACACCACAACCCCGCCTCCGAAAAAAAATTTAGAATCCTCTCTCTCTCTCTCTCTCTCTCTCTCTCTCTCTCTCTCTCTCTCTCTCTCTTTCTGTTTCTCTGAAGAGGAAAGCGCTTTTAAGTTGTTTAGATCAAAAGAAATTGCAGGGACGGCGTTTTTTTTTTAAATTTGTTGATATCAAAGATGGTGGGAAGTGCAGCTTCTAGTCAATCCCAGTCTCTAACTCTAATTCTCATTCTCAAAGTTATGATCCGAAAACAATTGATTTTTAGGCCCAGGCAGGCTATTGACAGATAAGTTTGTTACAGGAAGTTTTGTATAGTTATTTATGGATGTGGATTTTAGAAAGTATTGCCAAAAAATAAAGTTGTCATGCTTGAAGATAACTGAAATCGTGTACTGATCAAAATGTACGTATATACACGGGATTATAGGTTTATTTTTAGTATTCTTGAAGAGGGAAATCATGGAACCGAAATATAATATAGAGATACTGATAAATCCCGTACAACAATTTCCCAGTTCAAAAAGTGTTCAAACTCTGAGGTACGGTCAATATTCAACAGGGTCTATTTTGAACTTGTTGAGGTCATCGGGGATAAGGAAAAAATATTAAGCTGTTGAAAAATGACCTCAGGTATAAATTCAACGACTTTTGTCTCAATTTTCAACGGAGAAAAAAAACCCTGGTTCAATATTCAACGTTGAAAAATGAACCCCGGGTCAATTTTCAACTGGGGATCAATATTCAACGTTACACCGGTGCTGTCGTCGTTTAATTTTATGACGTCCCAAAACGTTATATTTTTCAAAGTCCGATTCTTTTACCTAATACACTTATCTTGATGAAGTTTCCTGGAGTTGAATAAGGACTTAAACCCGTCTTGTTTGTATGCCTTTAAAATGTCATGAAAAGCTGCTTTCAATGCATATAATATTGCATATGAATTTATACTTGTGAGAGATCACTACCTTTATTTACGTCTTAGGTATGACGCAGCGCCGCGAACGAGAATCGAACCTGGGCCTCCAGATCACGAAACGAACGCTCTACCACTAGCCTACCGTGACCGGTAATGTGAGAGGTGATAAAACTTTGGAAAAGGAGAAAATATCTTGTCGTTTTTATACAACAGTCAGCATAATAATAACAATAGTGTTGTATTTTGCGTGCACTATGACTAAATAGTAGTCAGGATTTGACACATGATACACGAGCCGGAGGCGCGTGAACCATATGTTAAACTCTGACTACTATTTAGGCATAGTGCACGCAAAACACAACACTACATTATCTAAATGGTGTACCTGAAATTCACAATTCATAAGTATCTAATTTATTACTGGGAAGTATTTAGGGACATTTAGCATCAGAATTATGCATTTTATCCAGTTTTTAAACATTTTTCATAACACTGTTTACAAAAAAAATGTGCGATTTTTTTGAACTGATATACACTTCTGTCAATTTAAGTATTTCATCTTAAATAATATGGTGACCTATATATTTTTGTGATAATTGGAAAATTTAAAGTGCTTGAAAGAAAAATAAATGCAGTTTTTGTACTTTGAACCGATAAAATTGTTAGGGTGGAAACACCTTAATTTTTATAATAAAAATATATAAAACGCTATAAGAAAAAAAACAATTATTTTACTTGAATTTGACTACACAATATACAAATTTTCAAAGTAGGAGTAAGTTGCATTTTTTGACAGAAATAGATAATTGGTATGTACTGATCTCAACTGACAAACAATATAAAAGCGATGTCTTCATTTGTAAAGCGTATTATACAGCTTGTTATTCAGGAACAAAAATAATTCTCCAAATTACACCGAGCGATGAGAACATTCTGCAAAATGTTTAATCCTTTTTAAATATCTCCATTATTTTCAACAAATAAAAAGAATTTGGTTTACCATATCTACACGTATACAAGATTTCTAAATTACACAAAAAGATACAAAAGAGGCTCATGTTAAAATTTCATAACGATTTTATGTAAAACTCTCTAAAATGATAATAGTAGTAAAGGATAAACTTCAGAAATGCAGTTAAAAATAAATAAATAAAATTCGATCATAACAAGGAGTACACTGTGTGTGTGATCGGTCTGCAGGGGATGCTTACCTCTCCATGGCACCTGATCCCACCTCTGATGTTTCGGAGTCCCGTGTTTGCTTTGCTCCTGATTTGAATTGTTTTATGGACTTCAGATCTTGAATAATGTTCGTTTTCTCCATATGTTTCACTTCAGAAAAATCAGTTTTAAAGAGTTTTTTATAATCAACGTTTAATTGATAAAACATCTAAATTATTTTTAATTAGATTTTATTTTCATATCATTCAAATACCGTGGTGTCCATGTATTCGAAATATTATCGCCTAATTAAGGCAAGAACTACCACTCGTGATATAAAATTTCTTTTTGGTGCTGAAATGCATGTTAATTATCTATTGTTAAGGTCTACTGGTAAATTTTTGTTCTTGCAATTTGATTACTATTGGGGTTTTGCGATATAAAGTAATTGAGTAAAATAAGGAATCTACAGTACATGTGTTCATAAGATATTTTGGAGGATACTAGCATTTTATTTTACTTAAATAGCATCTGGTTTTGAAGAACTCCACATTGAAGGGAAGGATATGCTAGCATTCAGCACCCAGTGTACAGCACGACTGTGTCACCAATGTCAGAGGGATACAGAATTCTATTGTAACACTTGTAAAATTGACCTGTGTCTACGATGTAAAGAAAAACACGTTATAAATCTAGATACTGGTCACCATGATGTTGTAATTTATCGTGAAAAATACGAAAACCTCACAAAACAAGAAACATGTGAGAAACATCCAAATAGCATCTGTGAAATGTACTGTCTTTCATGTGAAATTCCCGTCTGTGTCCGATGTGAAGAACACAGAAAAACCACATCACCATCTGGTTTATTCCAGCATGCAGAACATAAATTACTCGACATTAGAGCAGTCTATAAAACAAGCCGTAGCCAAACCAGGGGCATCATTCAGAGGATCAGAAGTGAGACCCTCTTGAATATATTTTTTATTCTAGAGGAAATGAAAGCTGATGTCAAATTAATCGACAGAAAAATCCTAAGTTCCCACTCAGAGATGTTGACAAGAGCACAGGGTCTAAAGAACCAAACTGCTACTGTGATGTATGAAGTTAAGATTCGAAAAGAAAGTTTTATTCGGAGATTACCACAACAGAAATTAAAAATGGTCAGATGCCTTGTCATCATTGAGGAGTATGAATACAGATTTGAACAGTTAACAAGTAGGCCAGTTGAATTACTCTTTTTCCTAAAGAAAACTCCAGTTCCAAAGACAGATGCAATATGTAATTGCACACTGCTCTCCACGATCGAGGAAATAAACATGGAGGATTTGAAGATGTCGCTGAGTGAAATCCCAGTCAAAGAGACGAAGAAAAGACAACTTACAAAAAGACGTCTGTCAAAAATAATGTCCTCCCCTGTGTACAACAAAACTGTCACAGTGCCTGCTGCTAGTGGTGTATATCACATTTCCTGTTTAACTTCAGGCCGGGTCTGGATCAGTGATTGGAAGAGCAACAATATCATTTTGACAAATATAACTGGTGCTATGCTGTTTCATCTGACAGATAGTGTTCAGAATTCATTTGCTAATTTAAGTTACGGAGTACATACGGTGAATGTTTCAGGTGAACTTATTTACATAGACAGTAAGTTTAATATTAGAAAATTATCTGCAGAAAACATAGAAATGCCAGTATTGATAGAGGAAATAAAACCATGGAAACCATACTGTGTATTCAGCTCTCCTTTGAATGGAGATCTGCTAGTTGGGATACTTAATACTCAGACATATAAAGGTAAGGTAACACGGTATAGCAACCAAGGGAAGCTTAAACAGACAATACCATGCAGCAACAACAGCACAGAACTTTATCGTGGTCCTTCATATATCACAGAGAATAAGAATGGAGATATTGCCGTGTCTGATGTTGGTGCTGTAGTGGTGACAGATCGTGAAGGAAGATATCGTTTCTCCTACAGAGGGCATCCAACGCAAAAACGACTTACACCACGTGGAATCTGTACCGACGCGCTGTCACATATTCTGATTTGTGATGAATACACCAGCTTGGTACATATGATTGACAAAGATGGAAACTTTCTGTCACATAGTATACTGACACAGCAACTAGATATAATTGCACCATACTGTCTAAGCTATGATGAAAAATCTCACTTTCTCTGGATTGGATCCTTAAAACACAACAGGGTTTCTGTGTATAAATGTAAAGATACACAACTTTCTGACAGGTATTTGTTATTGCTTTTAATGTCATTTTAGAATTGAAATATTAATGAGTAATATATGTGTTGAGAGTAAAATGTGATAAACTATATGTTTATGTATAAATACATTCAAACACAGTTATAGCGAACACATTTATAAAGAATTGATTTTTAAAGTGAAGTGATTTTACATGGTTTAATGAAGATTTTTTGGCTCTTACAGGAACACCCATACAAGCATGTTTAACTGTATACAGACACAGAAAAATCTTACAGGTCATATTTCTTAGGTGAATATATGAATACAAAAGTAAGCAGAAGTATCTTCTATTTTCTGTTATTTACATTTAGTTGTTGAAAGACATGTATATATGCAGACTATCTGGTAGGTCAATGTAATTAGTAAATTATTATTAAGGTATTAGAGGTGTAATTGCCATGACCTTGCATATGACTAAATTAAGCAAAGTTATAATGGACAACCATTTCGGCAATATTTCATGCAATTTTGTCCATACAATTTTTTCTACACTTATAACTGTACCCTCTCGCCAGTGGTGCACACTCAATGGACAAAGGATGGCGATATAATTTTTACCTCTACTCTAGTTAGCCAGAGAACAGTTTAATGTTTTATGTATTTAACTGTAACACGAAACACTATAGATTGTAGGCATGCATTCTTTTTCAGTTCGACTTCAACAGATATGATATACGATTAATTGTAATCGAGAAAACTTGTCTACGATCAGTGACAATTTTAACAATGTGATAAAACCGATTATAATATTCTGTCAAAGAAAAATATGGTAGAAATAATGAATAAAAGAACGTTGTAAATTTTATGTGTCATGTATTTAATTGTGATAATATGACCACAACAAAGAATTATTCCATCCACAATATTTATCTACATTCTACATCAGAGTGATGCATCCCCTAAAATGTAAGTCATTATTTTTAGCTCACCTGAGCCAAGGGTCAAGTGAACTTTTCTGATAACATTTTGTCCGTCCGTCCGTCTGTCTGTCTGTCCATCTGTCTGTCGGTTTGTAAACTTTTCACATTTTCTTCTCAAGAACCACTGGGTCAATTTTGACCAAACTTGGTACAAAGCATTCTTGGGTGAAGGAAAATTTAAATTGTTAAAATAGAGGGCCAGGTCCCCTCACAAGGGTAGATAATGAAGAAAAGACAAAAACAGGGTGGGGTCATTAAAAAATCTTCTTCTCAAGAACCACTTGGCCAGAAAAGCTGAAACTTATGTGGAAGCATTCTGGGGTAGTGTAGATTCTAAATTGTAAAAAAATATGAAACCCAGGGGAAGGGCGGGGCCACAATGGGGAATCAAAGTTTTACATAGAAATTTATAGGAATAATCTTTGAAAATCTTCTCAAAAACCACTGGGCCAGAAAAGCTGAAACTTATGTGGAAGCATTCTGGTGTAGTGTAAATTCTAAATTGTAAAAATTATGACCCCCGGGGGAAGGGCGGGGCCACAATTGGTAATCAAAGTTTTACATAAAAATATATAGGAAAAATTGAAAATCATTTTCTCAAGAACCACTGGGCCAAAATAGCTGAAACTTATATGGAAGTATCTTGGTATAGTGTAAATTCTAGATTGATCAAATCATGACCCCCAGGGGAAGGGCGGGACCACAATGGGGAATCAAAATTTTACTTAGAAATATAGAGGAAAAATCTTTGAAAATCTTCACAAGATCCACTGGGCCAGGAAAGCTGAAACTTACCGGGTATGTGGAAGCATTTTTGGATATTGTAAATTATAAAAATCATGACCCCTGGGGGAAGAACGGGCCACAATTGGTATAATAAAAGTTTTATATAAAAATATATAGGAAAAATCTTTGATAATCTTCTTCTCAAGAACCACTGAGCCAGAAAAGCTGAAACTTATGCACATGGAAGGATCCTTGGGTAGTGTAGATTTCAAAATGTCTTAATTATGATCAGTGGGGTAGGGTGGGGATGCATTATGTACTACAAGGGGGAAATCTGGTAAAGAACAGAATGATCAAAACTTCTCAGGTGAGCGATGTGACCCATGGGCCTCTTGTTTGTTAATGGTATGGGGTTGGTTATAATGAATGAACTTGAGGATATATAAACAAAGATGATTGTCATACTCAATTTACTTCAATTTAGATTCACTTGTTCAGAAAATTGACCTCTTCTCACAGACTAGACTAGGGATTGCAAAATGACTAACATTTTTGCAGTTTCCATGTGTATAGTGTTCTTAATTATTAATATTTACTTTACAATGAAGGCTGAAATATATCTGACCGAAACACTGATCAAAAGTTATTTTTAAAAAATCAATATTGTGCCTCACATATATTATAAATTAATAAATTAATAAAATATATTATGTATATAATATGTTTAAATAAATATTTTAAATGTCCCCTTTATAAACTTATGCAAAAAATAAATATTAAATAAAAACACTCACACATAAAATTCACCCTGACCTTACCCAGAATAAATTATTTGTCCTCAAAACTCGTTTTATTTTCGTTTACAGTTCTAAACATTTAATTACATTTTTTTACTGATTGGTCTATTTTGACTTAATAGATCACCATATTTCAAGTTAAAGAGTTAATCGAGTATTGCTTCCAAACTGTTCAATTACCAAAAAAACCTTTACATTGCCTGGATACCGAGTATCTGAAACATAATTATATGTAATCCTCCATCGTGTTCATGTTCTTCATCGCCCTATAATTATAGTCCTGCTGGACACGTTATAACAGGTGGCGTAAATATAGTTTATAATTAGGACTTTAGATCACTTATTTTTAAAAGGTCCTAAACATAGAGAACCCCGATCCTCAACTGGCGTAAGAATTTCATAAATGTTATGGATTCTGTTGAAAATTACGCCAGACAATGGGCTAGATATGAAAAAAAAACGTTGGCACCTTGTCAGAATGGATTAAATTATCAGATCCATATTCAAGTCACGTAATAAAAGATTAAGGGCTAATATCAAAACCGTCTATCCTTCTGTGTTCCATAATCCGGAAGTGAAAAAAGAATTAGATAGCTAAACATGATAAATAAGTTTTGGTCCCTGCCGACAAAGCAGGTAACAGCATTGTCTTCGTTTGTAAGGCTCATTATATAAAATGTTTTTTAGAAGAACTTGGATTTAATTCTACAAGTGGTAATCCTACTTATACTCATACTTCACTTTGTAAGGAAGAAATTCTTCAAAATCATATGTCAGTTTTAGATATTTTTTTATATTAGATTTCGAAACTTCATAAAAATTCTTACAAACAAAAATACATTGCAGGTTCCAGTAAATGTTCAACCAAGCCTCTTTCGTTACTCCTCACTAGAGAAGGAAAAAATTTAAGAGTATCGAGCAACAATAAATTCAAATAGTCAATCAGAAGTGGATACTAAAAAATTCCAAAGAACTTTTGACAACAATAGACAGTTGAAATAACAAGATTTTACCAAAATCAACAGCTTAAAAACTTACGACTTTTCAACTTTATACACAGCCATTTCCCACGATAAATTAAAGTCCAGGAGGCTGTGATGTATTCAGTAATCTTTTGTTGTTATTCTTTTGTTTGAAAAATGCTTGCTCGCTTTGTCATTCTTTTGGACATGGACAGAAAACTAAATTATCAACAGTTACCATCCCGCCTCTCTCTCTCCCTCAATTTAGTGAACTCTCCATAATCCGCGCTAGTTGCGTTGTACATTTAATATCAGTATCATTCTCTTCGTTGTCTTCCAGTCAACATTGTCTAATTCAAATTTTTTTTGATTTTCAAAATCGATAATCATAAATCTACATATTTGTCATGCAAATGTTGAGAGTGATATTGAATTTAGTGATAAGTAACAAAGAAGCCCCCCCATCCCCCCAATAAAAAAAACTAAAATTCTTTTGACCGTCTTAAGTAGAAATATTCCTTTTCTTTCATGCATGCATGCAAGATATGAATAGATTAATGTTTAAAAATCAAAATTCGCCTTTTAATATTTTTAAATATGTGTTTGAAAACGTTAAGACATACTTAAGTCACCTCTACCGACCGCCTAAGTTTTGCTACGATTGTCAAATCTAAGTATGCTCCTAGTTTCGGTCTTAAGTTAAAGACTGTACTTAAGTCCTACATAAGTATGGTCTTAGACTTAAGTACCCTTTATGTTACGACCCTGTATTAGGATTTTGATTAAGTCAATTAGACAAAAATTTAAATATTTATTAATATTGCTTTACAAAAGTATTGTTATCTGCAAAATTAAAGATTCGTTCAATTATTCATAAAAATTTTACAGGCGATTAAAAATTTGACTAAAGTCTAAGTCTGTTTCATGATCCTGGGACCTGGTCTTCCAACAATCAATTGGAATTCTCATGGGTACCAATTGCCCTCCATTATTAACAGACCTATTTTTATATTCATACATGTATGAAGCAGAATTTGTGCAAAATCTTATGCGTGAAAAGAAGAAAATATTTGCTGTGGCCTTCAACTCGACATTTAGAAATATCGACGCATTGATTTGGGAATTGATCATGTCGTGTAAAGAGAATTTGGCTAAGACGGCATGTACAATGATACGTAAAATGGAGTTTAAAAGCAAATATCGGGAATATTATGTGAAATGCATATGGAGTTCAGCTAAATCAACAGGTTTACTAATTTATTTTCATCAATTATATTCTCTTTCGAAGACAGTCAGCTATATCCGTATCCCAGTCGGCCTTGCCTCCGTCATTCGTGACAAAAATAATGAAAAAGAACAACAATAAACTGAATATTTCAAAACATAAGATTTGTACAGATAGAAAGTTCGCCTTCTAAAATACTTTAAAAGTGCTGCGAGAATCCCGAGTTATGCATGGTTTTACAAGAAATCTCGGTTCATATATGTACAATCCAAAACAAATGGTAAGGTTTTGTGCGAATGTGTGTTATAATTATTTTACTGACAGGACAGTGGGATTCTAGCAGCACTTTTTAGG